ATTGATTTGGAAAACTCATTTTTGAACTCTTTGGTATATCCGTTTCAAACAGTATATTTTTCAGTTGTGCTGCAATAGCATCAACTTGATTTTTGAGTTCAATGACATATTTATGATGCTCAGTAGTGATATTCAACAATATTTTCATATTTGAGTTGAACATCTCTGAGATCTGGGTTGCTCCAGAACTTATATCTTCAGATTCTTCTTTAAGAAAGTTTGTCCTTTCTTGTATATGTGTAATAGATTGGTATAACTCCATGACCTTGACTTTATCCATCAGCAAATTCTATATTTCTACTGAGAAAATCTGCAAGAAAATTATTAACTCCTTTAATATGGACTATATCAAAATTATAAAATGTAAATAAGCTTGCCATCTATGAAACCTTCTGTATTGTGGTTCTAAGGATAACTTATTCCTGACTAATCCTACAATTTGAGAATTATCAGTTTCAACAATAAATTTCTTGGATAATAAAAACAATGAGAAATTTTTTATTCCTCCAATAATTGCTAGTAATTCTTTTTCATGAGTAGTATAATTTATCTCTACTTGGTTAAATGTTCCACTTGAGTATCTACAATTTTATTAAGACCTGTTTTTAATATTGCTGCCCAATATTTATCTGAGACATCAGTATTAACAATCAAATTATCTTTTTCATCTGGTAATCTTAATTTTGGTAAATTTTTGCATTCTTCTTTTAATGATTTAACTATTCTGTATGTTCTTCATTCCATCCCTTAGTATTTTTTTCTGATTAAAATTTGGATTTTATGTCTTTTCTTAGAAATGTTTTCAATAAATCTTTTTGCATAATTTAAACATCATAAAAAATTTTGAATTTGTTTCTTGGATTCTGATTTATTTGAAAAACTTTCTATCTTTTTAGATATATGAGTTTGTAATTTTATCCCTTTTTTTATCTATTGATAATCCAAGAAAGTCTATCTCTTGTTTTTCTATTATAGATTTCTTTTTAGATAGTACAATTCCTTTTTTTTTTTTTTTTTTTACATTCATTAATAAATTGGATTAAATGATTTCTATACTCTTCTTTACTATTAGAACATACTAATATATCATCAATATAAACTATTAGAAATTCATTAAATTTTTTTAAATATATTATCCATCTTTCTTTAATATATCTGTGGTGCATTTTTCAAAACAAATGACATAACTAACTATTCATATTTTTCTTGAGGTATGCTAAATGCAGTATATAGTATACTATCTTTTTCCATTTTTACTTGCCAAAATCCCGATTTACAATCAAATTTAGAATAATATTGTTTTTCTCTTACAAGATTTATTAGTACTTTTTTATTTGGTAGAAAGTAACCATCAAATTTATTATATTTGTTTAATTCTTTATAATTTATAATCATTCTATCTTTTCCTCTAACTTGTTCAGAGTGTTTCATAACCATAAAGGTTGGACTACTATGAGGTCTATTACTAGGTTTAATAAGTTTTTGTTCTAACAATTCTTTTATCTGATTTTTAAATTCATGTGTATCTTCTATAGTATACATCATTGGTCTAACTCTTATTATAACATTTTCTATTAATTCTATTTTGGCTTTTAGGTGATATGGTTTCCAAAATAATAATAGATTTTCTCCATAATCTTTTTCTAAGTGTTCAATGATTTTTCTATATTCATTTCATTATTAAGAATTGATTTTTTCTCCCATTTATCACCACGCTGGGTTGGCTGAACTCTATAAAGTTTAAATTCTCTAGAAATTTTTAATAAGTGTCCACAAGATATTTGTAGTATTATCAAATAATTATTTTGTTTATTAGAACATTCTCCTTAATTTAATTTTGTTATTTCAGTTTTATTTTTTGTTATACCAAATTCATATTCTTCTGGAATTAAACTTATTTGTTTATTTGGTTCTATTAATTTACTAATATCTTTACATTCTTTATGAATTTCAATATATGGTTTATTGGAATAAATATTCCCATAATTAGAATTGGTAAATGTGTATAAAGCTCTATATTCTATAGTCATGATTTGATCACCTGGTTGCATGATATCATCCCTATGAAGATTAAAATGTAGTCCTAAAATTTCATTAAAATTTCTATCTTTTAATGATACACAATATGTTGGATAAAATGTAAACTTAATTTTTTGATACACTAAATTTCTTTCTATTGTTCCTAAATGACTATCTTTTAGATTTATTATTCTTCCATCATGTAAAGTTAATGTTAATGGTGAATCTATTTTTTCTCTAAATAGTGATTTAAACATTATTTGTATTCCTCCTAAACATATTGGATATTTTCACTTTGTTTTTTATTAATCTTTGTTAATAGTTCATCAACTGTATTTTTTGTTAAAAGATTTAATTTATGTTGCCCATAAGTTGTTTTTACATCAATGATTTTTTCTATTTTGTGATATTCATTTATTGCTATTCTTTCTCTTTTCCAAATTCTATCAAAGACTTCTCATTTTCCTGTTTTTAAGTCTAACGATAATTTTTGCAGTTTCTAAACTTGTTATTGTCAAAAGTGACTTTTAATCCATATCGTTTTATTCCTTCATATTCTTGTATATTTATATTATTACTTTCTATTTCTTCAATTTCTTTATTCAGATCCTGATTTATCATCTGTTTCACTTATATATACTTCTTGATTATAATATTCTTCAATAACTGATATTTCACTTAATTCATCTTTTATTTCTAAGTATTCTTTTTGTAATATTTTAACTTTCTTTTTATCACAATCAGAGCTTATATAACATATTTCTCCACAATTCCAACATTTACATTGGCTTTTATTTTTATTTTTATCTTTTTGTTGGTTATATGGGTTATTTATTCTTTTATAATATCTTCTTCTATGTTTTATATTATTTTTTATTAAAATTTCTAAATTTTTTATTTTTATATTTTCTTTTATTAACTCTTCTTTCAGGATTACATCCCCATTGCACAGGGGTTTCCATATCTTCACAACATATTTTAGTTAAAATTTTTCTGATTTTTTCATTAATTGTCTTTGTTGACATATATATGCAAGTCTTTCAAATAAAAATTTTATTCTTGAATCTAAAGTTTTATGTATTCCAGTATTATCTCTAACATATTTTTCAAATTCTATTTTAAAATATATTCCCCATGAACATGGTAATTTATTATAATACATGTCTTGATATACTTCTTGATTTTCATTACTATAAATTTGAACATAATAGTAATTTTTAAATTCACAAGTATATTCTTTAATTTTACACATATCACATATTGTTAAGTTTATTAATTTTATTTTAGCATTATCCTTTTCTCTTATTGATTATTTTTCAACATTTCTTATCCAATTTTCTCCTAGAAACTCATCTGAAATATATTCTACTAATTTATCTATACCTTGTCTATCTGATTTGATTGTTTTTGTTTGTACATTTCTTTTTATTAATATTTTGTATCATTGCTTATTCTTTTCCATCAATTTCTACCATCTTCTTCAAATGATGCTATTAAAAAATCTATTCTTCTTTCAGTATTTTCCCATGTGTCATTTTTGTTATATAAAAAGAATAATATCATTGAATATACCCAAGTTAGTAAGGCTTTTTAATAGCTACTTTGCACTTTAAATCTAGTTTTGTTCCTCCATGATTAATTGGTTTATCATAATTATCATTTAATTCGAACCTATCTTTATATTTATTTCCTTTAGGTGGTTGTCTATCTCTTACTTTATCATATAATTGTCTATATGGTTTATTAAATATAGGTGCATAACTTTCATCTGTGTCATGTAATTCTTGTTTAGAAATTCCTGTTGGATTAGGTCCTCCTCTAGTATTCATTAAAACTTGGTATTCACTTATATCAGTTAAGTTTAATTGATCAAAAATTTCTATTAACACATCTAATTCTTCACTCATCTTATTTTTCTTCTACTTCTAATTTTCCTAATGATTTTTCTCTAGATTTTTCTTCCTCTTCTAGCATTTTTGGTAATATATTTTTTCTAAATTCATCATCTATACTTCCTGTTTATATCACTATATTTTTTTTATATGTTTCTTTCCTATTCGAGTCATCTCTTTTTTTATAAATTTTTTATCTATTTTTTTATCTTCATTTTTATTATTTTCTTTTAATTCTCTAATCTCAATTTTTAATATATTTATATCGTTTCTTATTTCTTTTACTTCATTTCTCAAATCTTGTATATCATTTATTAATATTTTTATTAATGATTTTAATTCTTCCATATATTCACTTATTGACATATTAATTTTTTCTTATTTCTAATTCATAAGTTAATTTACATCTTTTATCTTCTTTTTTATCTATTATTTTTTCAAATCTTCTCTCAGTTGTTTCTGGATATTCTAATCCTTCTTTTACTATAGTAAAATATTTGCTCTCAAATCTTAGTCTTTCACATTTTAATTTTGTTAATTGTCTATTTTTTGATATTCTTACTCCTTCTGGTATTAACATTATATTTCTTATTTCTTCTTGTATTTTATCCATTTTTAAAAGTAATTTATTTAATTTTTGTTGTGTATTATTAATTGTACTCGTATTTTTCTCTATAATATAAATTATTTTCTTCATCTTCATATATATTAATAATTTTTTCATATGTATAAATATCTTTTATTTTTTCTATTATTAATTTTTCTAATATTTGTTCCTTTATTTCTTTAGGAAGTTTTTTAATTATTGTCAAAGTCAATATTTTTAATTTATTATAAATAGGTTTTAAAAATATATAACTACCTTTTTCTTCTTCTAAACACCAATAATTATCTATTTTCTTTATTTTAATTTCCATGATTTCTATGGCTCTGATACCAATTAGGGGGGCTACTTAGAGCGAAAAAAAATCAAATAAAAATATTAATCAAATAAATCAAATAAAAATTATCAAGTTTCATTCAATATTTAATTTTAAGGACTAAAATAGTAAAGTTCTATATTATGATGCCTTGTTATGTAATATTCAAATGGAGGGCATTTTTGGTATGTAAATTGCCTAAGGGCTGTTTTGGAAAAGTAACTCTTTTGAAAAAGTTATTTCCATATATTTCCCCAGTGGGATGCCGTGGAGCCGGAATTCTTATTTTAATAATACAAGGGGGTAGAGTGCAAGGGCAGGGTGGCAGTGGTAGCAATAGTAATATGGTGGTTAAGAAGATGGAGAAATTGTGTAATCATTGGTTACAAGGGAACTGTAAATTTGGAGATAATTGTAAGTACTTACATCAGTGGTCTACTGGGGATTGCTTCTCTCTTTTGACTCCTCTTGAAGGCCACCAGCAGGTACTCTTGAACCATTTAAACATATAATAAAGAGAGAGAGAGAGAGACATGGCAAACCAGTCCATTGGGGGATAATAAATCTAATTCAAATATTGAAACATTGTTTGTGGATTTTTCTTTAATTCATCATTGATATAGTTTTGAATTGATCAAAGTTGGATTCTTTTGTGCAGATTCTTAGTATTTTATTTTTTCAAGTTTTTGGTGGATTTACAGTTATGTTTGGTGTTGTGGGATCGGATTTTGAGGAGTTCTATTTGTTCACCCTGTTGGACTTTTTTGATACCCAATCTCTAGAATTCCTGTTGCTAAATGCAGCCATGTGTTAATATTGATCTTGCATGCTCTGATCATGTTTATAATGGTTTTGAAGTTAATGTATGGTTGTTAGCCTTTCTTTTAATTTAATCAAGTTGAATTTTTTCGAAGTTTTAAAATGTTTTATGTAATTGATTAAGCTACTTAGCTGAGCTCTGAATCAAACTTATAAAGTACTTATCATATCAGATTCAGCCAGGTCATGCACCCAGCTAAAGTACAGGATCTTCAAAAAATTTCTCCTTTTTCAAGATTAATCTAATACATATAGAAGATTTTAATTATTTCTTTTGGGGCATCCCCCAGATATTTTTTAAATACAATATGATCTCTATTTTAGAGAGTTGATGCTTAAAAATAAGTTTAAAGGGACTTTCTATTTAATTGTTTTTACATTTTAGTGATTGTATTTAATAAATTATAGATTTCAATACTTTATGTTTGTATTGTTAACATATTAAAAGATATGTTGAAAGTGTAAAATCATGAGAAATCAATAAACATTACTTGGAAAAAACAAAATGAAAAGCCAAAATAGAGGGGCATTGTTGGAGTATAGAAAATTTTTTACTATTGAAATTTAAATATGTTCTCTATCATACGTAAGATACTTTTTATAAATTAAAAGTCTCTTGAAAATGTTTTTTTATAGTTGTATCCATATTCTTAGGATTATTCTATGTGTACATCTTATGGTGTACACATAGATTACATCCCTTCACATGGTCCAAGAATATTTTATTGTATGTGGGCCCCCTTCATGTAAGGGGGGTGTAATACTTTGTGTACACCATTGTGTACACATAGCACAATCCATTTTATTAATCTATTTTTCAATTCTTTTTCCATTATGTTTTGCAAAATATATTTAATAGACTTGAAATCTATATGTTTTTGTTGATTCTTTTTCGAAGACAAAATAAATATTTAAAATAAGATCAGTCTACAGGTACGAAATAGGTTACAAAAGGGTTATCCCAATAGGGGCCGCTACTTGACAATTTAGTAACCCCTTTTGTACAAGGTTTTGTACATATAGATTTTTACTTAAAATAATTACAATCTCCAATAAGATGTTAAATATAATTTTAGTTGGTTATGTACCAAAGCAATGGAGGTGGCCTAGTGGCAATGTGTCCTTTAAACAAGGTTTAGGTCTTGGGATTGAGACTTTGACTCAAAATCTGCACATTTTGCAAATAACAGCCCATTGTGCAAAGACTCGCTGGGTTTTGTTGATCCAGTTCGTCAATTTTACGTGAAACCCAGCCTGTTAGGGCAAGTCTAGAACCAGTCCAAAAATACTAACCGGATCGGAACAAGGTCTAGCTTGTTGGGTTTTCGATCAAATACGGCTGGTCAAGTATGGGTTTAGTGTAAGTGTTATGCCTTAAATCCAATCGATTTAGGTTGTAAATGCTTTTAATATATTTAATGCATTTGATTTTGGCGAGATCTATTATTTATTTAAATTAATTTTGTAATAAATAATATTAAATAATAGAATCCGAAGATCCAATTTTTAGGTAATCTGTTAATCACAAGGAGTTGTGGTTGTGAAATACAAATTACATATAATTGGATCTTGAATAAACCATGGTCGTAAATAATAACGAGATACGGATATCGTTAATACAGTTAGACCATCACGTATGGCATTTCTTACTTGTGAAGTAAGTAGTTGATCTCACGAGTTAAAGTGTGGTGACACTTAAATGAACACGTGGATATTTTGTTGTAGAACAAAACATTGGAGACCCGCTAAGAGATTCCATATGGATAACTATCTGAGTGTCAGTGGCTAATCTCTAACGTTCGGTAGTGGAATTGGTCCTTTGACTTGAGGTCGTCATGGTACCTTTTATGAGGACAGTCATACTTTCGCGGTGTTGGATGTTGCTCTAAAAGGGGCCGCTAATACGACATCGTTTGGGTACGTCAAGAATCGTATGAAGGTTGTGATTAATCAATAAATGATTCGTCACTCTTAAATAGTAGGAGATTATGATCTGCGTTTCATTCAATTAAGTCGATGATGAAATCATTGGCCAAGGTGTACTCATAAGTCGAAAAGGAGTTTTCGATTTATATTGACTTAATAGTGGAGTGAAAGATATAATCAATGATCGAGATTGACACAATTCCATATCTCGTAATTGATCAGATCGTATTAACAAAAGGATAATAGTTTCACGATAAACGAACGAATTTGGTTTTGTCATACCACGTGACATTTCCCGTCACATGTATTGCCCTGACACATTGTTAGATGCCAATCAGGGACGGCGAGTGTGAATTGACGATAAATTAAAAGGGTGTATTAATTTATTAATTTTGATTAGATCAAAATAATATTTCACGACGTTAGGCATCGTGGTAGGGAACCTAATGGGCCGCACACAAAAGAGAATTGGAAGATTGCAAATTGTCAATTGGTTAATTTAACAATCGTTGGATAAATTAATTAATTGAATTTGTTATTTATATTCCTGAATTAATTAATTGGATTAATTAATTCACGGACCGGGTTTAATTAATTGGATTAATTAAATATTGGATCGGATCAGGCCGGGTCCGTTTGGGTTTATATATATACATAGCTAGGGTTTGAGCTCCATAAGGTTTTCATTATTCTTGCTGGCACAAAAGAGAAACCCTAGCAGTTGCAGTCTATTCTCTGTGTGGATTTCATTGGAGGCTGGACAATTGGACAGCTGTGGGAGGCAGATTCAAGCTGCTGGAAAGGAATAACGCGAAGGAGTTTGCAAATTACAAATAAAGGTATATTTCTTATCACAGTTTTTATCTAAATACAAAGCTGAATCCTGAATGAGAATTGAAATTTGTTAAAATCCGCTGTGCATGTTTAAGTAAATTCCCTACATTTAGTATATGCTATTACATAGGTTACATTTTGGTGGACCCAGAATTTTATCATTATATACATGTTTTTGTATTAAGCTTGTGTTTGGCTCGTGTTTATGAAATTCTAATCAATTTTATCTACACATTTCGTAGAACTCACAGCAAAATCGTTTATAAACACTTCTCAAATTTACTTTTGATTGTGGAAGATTAGTTGTTGTGCTTTCTCAGTTAACCATAGGATTTCTCCAACAGGTTGTTACCGGGATTGCTTTGCCTATGGGACTGGATAAGCTTTACATGGGGAGTCAAGATGACTGTCAACCCGGTCAGGTTGTTTATATAGTTATCATTTTTCTTTTAAATTGTTTTGCTTGCATTTTATCACGTATTGTGGAGATAATTTCATGAAAGAATATTTTATTAAATTATTTAATATATGCTCATAAGCCTGAGGTTTTCCTAATGAAATAAACGTTGGAGAGGATACGAAGTTGTTATGAGTTTTGAACATTAATATATGCGTAAGAGTTGGCAAAAGTTACTGCAAGGAACAGAAGTTGGTAATAAGGGAAAATCTCATTGAATACACAGAGTACTTCTGTAACCCCTCATAAAATGTTATATATATTGTTTTGCTCATTTAATCGGTGATCCCTTGGGAATGCTGTTGTTTACTCATTTGTCTTGTACTCTGGTTTGTGCTACAGGTTGTTGGGGTAGTGAATGTGGGAGGTACGGCAGGCTTTATGCTAAGTAAAGACCCATGCGAATGGAACATTCAGACATCTACAGACCTAAGTTTAAATGGACCTGTTGGACAAGTATATTCCCGTGTCATTGGCAATGATATGCTTTTTGCCGGTACGCAGGTAAAATTTTGAAAGCATTATAATTTCCTTGGTTTGCCAAACCTATTTCTTTCAATTTTCAGATGTGTTGCGTTATTTTTTAGCTTCTTCATGTATGTTTATCTTGATGGGTGAAAAAAGTATTTGCTAGTTTCCTCGTAGGCTTGCTAGTTTCTAGTGCCTTTGAGATGCATGGTTAGATGGTTGCCTACGGTGTTGAAGTGCAAAAATTGTATGCCACATACTATCATCTTTCCCATTTTCCTGAGCATACCTATTTTACTTTAGGACGGGACCATATTGGCATGGAAATTCATTGTAGCCACTAATTGTTTTGAGCCCGCTGCCTCACTTAAGGGTCACACTCTTGCTGTTGTTACCCTAGTTGTTGGAGCTAACAGATTGTACTCTGGTTCTATGGACCATTCTATAAGAGTAAGTAAATAAATGAGAAATGGATTTTTCTTACTATCTATGTTTCATTGTAAGAAAAATGGAAAAAGCAATATGTTGGGAAAACACCTCCCAAAGATAGCCAAAGGATCAAACAAAGTTGACAATGTGAAAATTTCCAAACCACTTCAAGAACAAGAAAATGAGGAAGAAATGATTTCAATGGAATATATGAATAACAATGTATTTGGATTACTTGAACAAGCCTCAAGTTAATCCCCAAGAAAGAAAATAACTTTAAATTTATACCCAAGATGAACAACCTTCAATCTTGTAAAATTCTCTCCAAATTTTCTCTCAAGTTTCTTTCTAGGTCTTGTCTTGAATGGGAAGGAGGAAAAATTGGCTATATATATAGCCTATCGGGGCGCCTAGGCGCCCAAGAGTGGCGCCTAGGCGCCATGTTCCTGTTTTGGTTCTGCACTCGGGGCGCCTAGGCGCTGCTTGCTCCTTCTCGGCTTCTCTTCTTCTCTTCTCTTCTCTTCTCAGCTTCTCTTCTTATCTTCTCTTCTCAGCTTTTCTTCTTCTCACACAATATCTTGACATCATAACTTTGTTCGACGATTTGTTATCTTTATTTTATTGTTGATTTCTGTATTCAGGTATGGAACCTTGAAACTTCGCAGTGTCTACAAACTTTGACAGGACATACGGATGTTGTGATGTATGTATTGTGTTGGGACCAGTTCCTTTTGTCATCCTCACTGGATAAAACAATCGAGGTTTTCTTCAAAAAAAATAAATAAATAAATAAATAACCTCTGACCACTGTCTTACCTTTTTGTGCGAAAAGGTTTGAGTTATATATCTTGTTGATTTTCTCATTTTTAGGTTGGGTGGCAATTGAAAATGGGAGCTTGGAAGCAACTTGTGCCCACATCGAGGAACATGTATTCTTTAGTTAATTACTGCATCAATTTTTTTAGTTGCTCATTTGATGTGTGTTGGAAATTTATTTGTTTATTGTTCAAGATCAAAAGAAAATAAAAAAAGGGGGGGTGGCTTAACCATGCAACCGCATGGATTAAGCCCATGAGGTCGCATGAGGCCCTCCCGAGAATGGGAGGCCATGGAGGCTGTAACCATGCGATCGCATGGTTATAAAAATTTACCGTTAAGTTAGTTTTTGACCCTTTTTATTTGAAATTGGTGACTTTTTATCATTGTTTTGCACCACTTCATGAAAAACTTGCCAATGCCTATAAATAGATTATCCAAGTGCAAGAAAAAACATATTGAGTTTCATTAAAATCTATTCCCAAATATACTTCTAATATTGAGAAAATTTATCACATAATCCTTTCATTTTCACTTGTTCATTGTGAAAAAATACCTTTGTTTTTTTGGTGATTCTTCTTGTCAAGACTTGTTTAATCCTACAAACTAGTTGCTATAAATCCTTAAAAAGCATTGGAAAGGAGGCAAATAACGTTTGAGGATAGCGAGATTAATTTCGTGTTCAAACCTTTATTGATATACTTTTATAATTTTCTTCTCCATTGCCATTATTTTTCCAAAAATCTCAAACGTTATTTGTTACTATTATTGCAATGGAGACGGAATCTACACTTGCTACTATCAAAATTATGAATCAAGACCTGGTACGATTGGACAGATTTGATGGTGCAAATTTCACAAGATGCCAAGACAAACTTAAATTTCTATTAATAGCCTTGAAGATCTTATTATATGTGCTTGATCCAAAATTGGAGCCCCATTCCCGATGCAACTAACAAGGATATCGAAGAAATTTGCGTAGAAAGGAAGAAACGGGAAGAGGAGGAATTGATATGTCATGACCATATTCTAAATGCACTATATGATCGCCTCTATGATATTTACACCAACACTATATCGGCAAAAGAATTTGGTACACGTTAGAAAGCAAATACAAAGCCGAGGAGGAAGGTACGAAAAAGTTCTTAATATCTAAGTATTTTGATTTCAAATTTTTGGATAATATACCATTATTGCCTCAAGTACATGAGTTACAACTAATTGTAAACAAATTGAAAGCAGTGAAAATCGAACTTCTCGAAACTTTCTAAGTGGGAGCAATTATTACTAAACTTCCTGGTTTTTGGAAAGGACATAGGAAGATGATTCTTCACATTTTTGAAGGCTTTTCTTTGGAAGATATACAAAAACATCTTCATATTGAGGAAGAATCAAAGGCAAGAGTTAAGATTGAAAATTCTTATAAAGGCCCTTCAAAGGCTAATTCCGTGGACAATGTGGACAACTCCAACAAGTTTAAAAAGAAATGAAAATTTCTTGATCCTATAAAGGATCAAGGAAAGTTTAAAAACAAGGCCAAAAGACCTTGCTATGTTTGTAAGAAATCGGGACACTGCCAAGGATTATAGACATAGGAAACAACAAAAGAAAGAAGGACAAGTGAACTTCGTTGATGAGAATATCGCCACGGTAATCGAAGGCAAAGTTCCGGGCTGGTGGTATGATAGATGCACTACAATTTATGTATGTTATGATAAGTCTCTCTTCATGACCTATCATGACATTGAAGACAATCAAGAGATACAAATGGGAAATAAAGGAAGATCAAAAGTGATTGGCAAAGGAAATGTGGAACTCATTTTCTCTTCGGGAAAGAAGATCACTTTGACAAATGTCTTGCATGTACCGAAAATGAATAGAAACTTAGCAAGTTGTGTACTCTTGGGAAAACCTGTAATTAAATTTATTTTTGAATCTGGAAAGCTTATATTAACCCATAATGGGAACTTTGTTGGAAGTGGCTATTCCACCGAAGGAATGGTCAAACTACGTACCATTGAGGATAACTCAAATAAAGTTAAATTTTTTGCTTATGTTACTGATTCATTTAATTTATGGTATGGTAGATTAGCACATATAGGAGTTAATACTATGAAAAGAATCATTAAATGTGGATTAATATAATGTGAAATTGACAACTTGGAAAAATGTGAAACATGTATTAAATCAAAAATGATTAAGAAGCCATTTCATAGCGTAGTAAGAACAACAAGATTACTTGAACTTATTCATTCCGACATATGTGAATAGAATGGAATGTTAACTAGAGGCGTTAATAGATATTTTATTACTTTTATTGATGATTGTTCTACATATACCTATGTGTACTTATTAAAACATAAAGATGAAGCCTTTAGTGCCTTTAAGACTTATAAGATTGAAGTTAAAAATCAATTAGGAAGAAAATTAAAGACTTTAATAAGTGATAGAGGTGGTGAATATTTTTCTAATGAATTTAACATATTTTGTGAACAAAATGGAATAATACATCAATCTTCTGCACCTAGAACACCAGAACAAAATGGATTAGCAAAAAGAAAGAATAGAACTCTTTTAGAAATGATAAATTCAATGTTGTTAAATTCTGAATTACCCTTTAATCTATGGGGTGAAGCCTTACTTAGTGCTTGTCATATAACAAATAGGATTCTTATGAAAAAGAATAAAATTTCTCCATATGAAATTTGAAAAAATAGAAAATCAAATATCAGTTATTTAAAAGTGTGGGGGTGCCTTGCATATTGTAAGAATATGGATCCTAAGAGAACCAAGTTAGGTCCTAGAGGTATCAAGTGTACTTTTATGGGATATGCTCTCAACAGCAAAGCCTATAGATTATTAAATCTAGAAACAGATGTTATAATAGAATCAAGAGATGTGAAATTCTTCGAGAATGTAATGACAGCTAGAAAATCTAAAATTAATGATAAATATATTTCAACCTTTAGAAGCTCACCAGAAGAGACATCCATAAAGGATGTTGAAATTGAACCTCGAAGAAGTAAAAGAACTAGAAAAGAAAAGAACTTAGGTTAAGATAAAATAGATCCCCAACTTATTTTTTTTTACATAGTAGAAAGAGATAGGAAGGATGTTGTAAGAACAATTCTCTTTGTTCTTCAAGTGAAAAGTGATCCTAAAACTTATAAGGAAGCAGTGCAATCTAGAGATTGCATGCTCTGGAAAGAAGCCATAAACAACGAAATTGATTCTATTATTTCAAATAACACTTGGAAAATAGTTGACTTGCCAGCAGGATCTAAGGCTATTGGTTGCAAGTGGGTATTTAGGAAGAAATACAATTTCGATGGATCACTTAATACCTACAAAGCTAGATTAGTGGCTAAAAGATATCGTCAAAGAAAAGGAATTGATTACTTTGATATGTGTGCACCCATAGCTAGGATAACCTCGATCAGGATCTTATTTGCGTTAACATCCATTTATGATTTACATGTTCATTAAATGGACGTCAAGACGACGTTCCTAAATGGAGATCTCGAAGAAGAGGTTTATATGGAACAACTAGAATGGTTCATTCTATTGGGAAATAAACACAAAGTGTGCAAATTAATTAAATTCTTATATGGACTAAAGCAAGCTCCAAAAAAGTGGCATGAGAAATTTGACTCTAAAATAATGTCAAATGGATTTAATCACAATTTGGTAGATAAATGCCTCTACACGAAAGTGAATGAAAATATATTCATGTTAGTATGTCTATACGTTGGTGATATGCTAATCATTAGCAATAATATAGACGGGATCAAAGAAATAAAATTGTTTCTATCCTCTACTTTCAAAATGAAAGATCTTGGAGAAGTTGATACTATCCTTGGTATCAAAGTTAAAAGGGATAGTGGGGGTTTTACATTAAGCCAATCAAACTATGTTGAGAGTGTGATAAACAAATTCAAACATTTGAATGTTAAGAAGGCTAACACTTCTATAGATCCAAATATTAAATTGATAAAAAATGAAGGTAGAGCAATTGCACAAATAGAATACGCAAGTGCAATTGGAAGTCTTATGTATGCATCACAATGTACAAGACTTGATGTAGCATTTGCTGTAAGTAAACTAAGTAGGTTTAATAGCAATCCAAGTTCAGAACATTGGAAAGCCATCGGTAGGGTTCTTGGTTACCTAAAGAAAACAAAAAATCTTGTTCTACAATATACGAAATTTCCTAAAATCTTGAAAGGATATACGACGCAAGTTGGATATCAAGTGCGGGAGAGAATAAATCTACTTCAGGTTGGATATTCACTCTTGGAGGTGGTGCAGTTTCTTGGAAGTCTAAGAAACAAACTTGTATTACTCATTCAACTCTAGAATCGGAGTTTGTAGCATTGGCCGAAATCGGGAAAGAAGCTGAGTGGCTAAGAGATTTATTATATGAAACACCTTTAGATATAAATGATATTTCTTCTATACCTACTTGTGTGATAGACAAGTCACCCTAGCTTGAGCGTATAACGAAATATACAATGAAAGTCTAGACACATGAGTATGTAAGGAAATTAATCAAACATGGAGTAATTTCTCTTACATTTGTTAAGTCTAGTGAGAACTTAGCTGATCCATTTATAAAACCTCTCACAAAAGAGTTAGTGAGATCAACATCAAGTAAAATGGGATTAAAACTCCTCAAATAGATCCACCAATAATAGCAACCTCACCAAAATATACTAAACTAGTATATAGAAGTTCAATAGGTAGCAAGAAGTTATTCGATAAGTGGATGGATTCAACACTATTAAATATATCTAATATTATATTTTGAAAATAGTGTTGGTTGTTACTGTTAGAGGAATGAGTTAAATAAACTCTTAATAAAGTTCAATACGGAGTACAAGTATCTATAAAAGTAACAAAACATACGAGAAGAACTTCACCTATGTGAATTTCGAGGTGGTGTCGCCTCATTAAAGAGTTGAAGTTTTCTCTCTTTAAAAGTTCAATGAAATAGGATTAGTGCAAGGCCATATTAGCACTAAGCGAGTTAGAAGAATTAGTGAAAAACTTAACAATTGTGTGTGTGATTTCATCGGTATTGTCACAAAGAATAATTAGTTCAAGGCACATTAGCCACCTGGAATTCTGATAATACTTTATGAAATTTACACTATGAATATATTTAAATCGAAATATATCTAATTCTTATGCATAAGTATTGATATTTGATTATGTGATTAAAATAGATTTTGAACAAGTATGGGATTGTTGGAAATTTATTTGTTTATTGTTCAAAATCAAAAGAATAAATAAATAAATAAAATAAGGGGGGCTTAACCATGTGACCGCATGGATTAAGCCCATGCGGTCGCGTGAGGCCCTCCCGAGAATGGGAGGGCCATGGAGGCTGTAACCATGTGACTGCATGGCTATAGCCCATATATAGCCTTGTGGTTGCATGGTTATAAAAACTTACCGTTGGGTTAGTTTTTGACAATTTTTTATTTGAAATTGTGGCTTTTCATTCTTGTTTTGCACAATTTCGTGAAAAACTTGTCAAGGCCTATAAATAGGTGATCCAAGTGCAAGAAAAAACATATTGAATTTCATTAAAATCTATCCCCAAATACACTTCCAATATTGAGAAAATTTATCACATAATCCTTCCATTTTCATTTGTTTATTGTGAAGAAACACCTTTGCTTTTTTGGTGATTCCTCTAGTCAAGGCTTGTTTAATCCTACAAACTATTTGTCGGAAATCCTTAAAAAGCATTGGAAAGGAGGCAAGTAATGTTTGAGGACGGCGAGATTAATTTCGTGTTATATTTTATTTTTTTCTATTTTTTCGGAGAGGGGAAAGATCTTTTCAAAGAAAGAGGTAAGGAAGTGGTCAGCTGAATCAATTGCCATATGATAAGAAGCTAATTATATCTACTTGTCATGTTGTGTCTCTTTCTATAGGCACCTCAAATTTTTATTCTTTACCAGAATAGAAGTTTATAGTGTGGGATATGTGATGAAATAAGAATTTTGTAGTTTCATTTTGTTTTCAATTTTTCTCTTGTTATTTTATGTATTAATTCCCTTGTTCAGGAGATGTCAATGTTACCTTGTATTGTAATTAATGTTATTATCTTGCAATAAATGCATGTATGGTAAGCCATATTGGTTGTCATTGATGATTAAGAATTTGAATATTTTTGGCGATCTTTATTATATCACGTTGATGGTATAGTTATGACGATCCTTATTATTTCAAGAGAATTTTTGTATTTTATGGTAGAGATTTACAACTTGAGGACGACAAATGGCACAATTGTTCATTTTGGATGGATGAATTCATCCAAAAAAAAGACCATTATTTTGGCGGTGAACTACACTTTCTTTTAAGGATAAATTTCGCAAATTAGTAATCATGTCTCTAAAAAGTTTTCCTATTTTTGCCCCCAACCTTTAAGAGATTAAAAGTAACCCCCTCATTTTGGCACAAATGTTGCTTATCATAAAATAAAAAATTCATCTCCATCTTTAACCAACCTATTGAAAATCATTTACTACGCTCAATCATTGTGCAGCTGGCTGCTCTCATCCTAAACAAAATGATTTACGTTTTATGAACATGTTTGGTTCAAATTAAAATTTAATTTTAATCTAAGTCAACGACAAACAATTAATATTAACCACATTTTTCACGGGTCCCACAACTTATCAACCACACATTTCAAAAACTTTCGTCACAATCTGCTAAAAAATCTAATTTTAATCCCCACCAAACATTCTCTATATGTAGTAATCGCCATCCCTTGATATTTGCATATTTAGGGGGGTAATTTTCCTATCTAAATTCCCAGTGTAATCTATAAACCCAAGGGCGGAAAGGGGGAGGGTTTAACTCTAAATTTGCAAATTTAGGTTTGGGTGGTATTTATTTTCCCCGCGAAGCCAAGAAATCCTTCCTATTTTTGTGAAATGAGGGAGAACAACTCCCCCACCCCCCAAAAAAAAAAATAAAAAAAAAATAATCACAGTAATGCCAAGAAGACACTTTGTTATAGCAAAATTTGGGAGGTGGTGGTGGTGGTTTGGAGGTGATGTAGGGTGGAGTGTACAAGGACTGAATGAAGAAGATGTCTAGGTTTTTTTATTTATTTTTCCAAATTATTTTATTTTGTTAGATCTACACCTTGAATTTGATTTTAAGAGTTGGATCACTTGTCATATACCTTGGTCAAATTTATTGATAAAAGAGACTCATGTTGCTTTTCTGAAAGATTAGGGATAAATTTAGTTAAGGACATGATTGCTACATTCACCAAAGTTGAAACCGCATATGCAATTCTTCCGTAAAAGAAGGTGCAATCCACGTGCCAAAATAATTGACTATATAAAGGGCATCCATCCAAAAAGACCAACTGTGCCAAGAATCCAAAGGATTGGGATCAAGTTTAATCAATATTTAAAGATTTGAACAAAAAATGCAAGATGGACAAAGTTTGGAACCAATTAGCCAATTTTCCTTAATTTAACAAAACTGATGTCCATTGGTGTTGTAGTAAACCTAATAAAATTCGAGCATGAGTCATTGTGAAATGTCATATGCAAATTGGTCAGGGACAGAAGAACTGGAAAAAAAATAAAAAAAACAAAAAGTTTTTGGTCCACAAGAGAGATTGATTAAAAAGTGATTTATCCCTTCGATCACCACTAAAATGTAAATATGAGAGAGAGGAAACCCTGGGTGAAGAATCAGAAGAGAACTTGGCAATATGGCTTCTTGTAGTCAAAACACTTAAAATACAACCCCTAAAATCTGTCTTCTCTTGTTAAGTGATAGTTTTTACCGTTTCTTGATTTTTCAATCCAGTGGCATGTTCTGAATTTTGGAAATATCGAAGAGGAGAAGGAGATGGAAACATGAAAAGAAGAATGAGGCTCGAACTTGTATATAATACACTATCCTAAATATGATATTGCCTCCTTTGGTATGCTTTTAGGATTTTTGGCAAATACTTTAGAGAATTTACAAGCCTTTAAGAAAGAAACATAAAAGCAAAATGATTCTTTCTTTCCTAGGCAACGGTATATAAAATTTTACTCTTATGTGAAAACCTTGGGGTTTATGAAAAGTAATTATGATTCATGTTTTTTCTTTAAGGGCTCTGGTGGTCCTGAATCCATTTAATTGCTGTTATAAGTTGATGACATGTTACTTGCATGCCATGATAAATCTGAAATAGAATCTGTTAAGTTTAAACTGAAATCAGAATTTGAAATGAAAGATTTAGGAAAAGCTAAAAGAATCCTAGGAATGGATATAGAAAGGGACAGAAATAATTACATGCTATGTTTAAAACAAGGAAACAATGTGAAGAAAAATTTAGATAAATTTTCTATGGTTGAATGTAAATCTGTATCCCTGCCTTTTGCAAATCATTTCAAATTATCGTGTGATCAGTCACCCAAAACTTAAGATGAAATTAATAGAATGAAAAATGTTCCATATGCTAATGCAATAGGATCCATAATGTATCTTGTGGTATGCACTAGACCAGACCTAGCTCATGGAATAAGTATTTTGACTAGATTCATGACAAACCCAGGTGAAACCCATTGGTTAGCAGTTAAATGGATGCTTAGATATCTAAAAGGATCATGCCATTTAGGAATAAATTTTCAAAGATGCAATGAAGGTATAATTCTGAAGGATTATTGTGATTCAGACTTTGCTGAAGACTTAGACAAAAGAAGATCTACTTCATCCTATATTTTTACTCTGTGTGATAGTTGTATCAATTGGAAATCACAACTGCAAAAATTAGTTGCATTATCTTCAACAGAGGCAGAATATATTGCTGCATGTGATGCTGTTAAAGAATGTATTTGGTTAAGAGGGTTATGAAATGAAATTGGTTTTCAAAATGATTCTGTAAGAATATTTACTGATAATCAAAGTGTTATACATCTGAGTAGAAATCCAGTCTATCATGATAGAACAAAGCATGTTGACATAAAATTCCACTTTGTAAGAAACATGGTTGAAAAATCTATGATTTCTTTAGTCAAAATCCCTACAGAATATAATCCCTCTGATTTAGGTACCAAGATTCTTCCCTTAAACAAGTTCAAAAATTACTTAATGATTCTGAATATCACATAAGATTAACAATCAGTGATAAACTAGAATCTTAAGCTATGTATAGAATTCAAACTAATTTCTAATTTTTGTTTTTACAGGTTATGGGAGCAAATGAAGCTAGTGCAATCTCTAGATCCATTAATTGAAACAAGAAATAGCTCAGCAAGGTGAAGTTTTTTTATATATTTGGGCTGCCTTGCTATTTCTAAAGAGCTGGGCCTCTTAACTGGTTTAGTACCCGGCCCATTTATCAAAAACGTTCTTTCGTATATAACGTTTTCTGCCTCTCTCAAGGGAAGCTTTTCTGCCGTACACATGGCTTCTTGGCAGCCTTTGATCTGTGACGATTAGTCTTGAGTATTTAAGTTTGGGCTCTTCATTTTCAGCAGATAATTAGTCTTTCTCTCTCGATTGTTCTATCTGTGTGTGAATTAGGGTTTTCAGAAATTGGTAACCTTCATCTTTGTGATGATTTCTCTGAGTTGAGTGTTGAGAAAATCTTTGCGTAAGATTTGTTGTTATCATATTTCAAATAGAGAGGCTAGAGAGAACTTGAAGAAATCTATAATTTCTTCATACATTTGTACGATTTCTTGGAGATTTAGTAGATTTAGAGCTGAATCGTGCAGTCGATACTCAACGGGTGAGTAGGTCTTTGTGACTGAACATCCAGACCCTTTAAGGGTGAAAAATACTCTGTGTTCTTGTTCTTTTTTGAAATCTTGTTTTTAATTTCTCAAAATCAAACAAACACTTTGTTAAAAATACCAACAAAATTGGAACCCCATAAGCCACGAATAACTATGTAATACAAGACACTGTAATAGCACCTTCGATAGTTTCATTTTGCCAGTGTTCATGCTATATTTGATGATGAGTTTCATATTTCATGTAGTATATGTAATCGGATGTTGGTATGGTGCACATCAACAATGTTAAGCCACCAAAGAATCGTCAATGCTGAAATTTAATTTTTTCTGAACTGTATTGCAGATAATGGATGATGTGAACGTGTTTGTAATGTGAACTCTAGGTGTCGTGCAAGACTTGAGTGCTTGATTCCAACAATGTGTGGATGTTGTGGAGCGAAGGGCCATAATAAGAAAACCTATAAGCAACCACTTCCGTTATGCCATTTGAGAAAGCGTAAGCGTGGAGCAGACAGTAGTATTTGAATTGGATAATATGTGTCTAGCTTTCGTCTTTGATGCTTGAAATTGAATATCTCGATTCAATGTAATCAATATATAAATGATTTTATCGAAACATCCATTCTAGAATTACCCGAATTACCATACCATTACCATATTGTTACCGTGATTGAAAAAAGTTCAATATGAAGATATTTTAGTCTCGCTATCGTCATCCTATTCACACAATTTTACCTTGAGCTACGACATATGTCTCTCAGGAGAATCTGCATTCACTGGATACTAGTAAGCCAATTGTGGTGACATCACAAAGTTGTCAACAGAAACACAGAATGCAATCATGCTACAAGTCACAACGAGAGATTACTTTGTCCATTGTAATGCAATTGAAAGTTAACAAAGACATATGGTAATACGATGGAAAAAACACATAGCACGAACGAAAATAACATTGAAGGCAGTTCATTGGCCTTCCCATAAATGAAAATGTCACTACAAAAGATGACCATAGCTACGATTCTTGAACGATGGACATCTTTTACCCATATACTATTCAAATTAAAAACAGCAAAATACGACAGATTTAGAGCCTATTTGGGAGTGATTTTGAGAATTGATTTTTTGACCGTTAGGAGAAAAGTGAGATCTACCTGTGAGAGAAGAAGGCAAATATAATCATTGGAATAGTAAAATGACGGTCAAAAAATCACTACCAAACATGCCCTTAGTAATCTTCTTCCCAAATTACTACTTGACTACTCAATCACCACACCTTTCATCTTCCTGTCCCGCCCAACACTACGTGGCATGAGGTCGAAATCCGTATCGTATGCTTCAATAATCTTCTCACAACCGTGCTTGAAAAGTTGGCATGCCAGGTTAGATCTCGATATAACGGATCAAAAGTGACTGCCATATCTTCGAGTTTCTCGGTTATGATATACTTGGCGTACTTTATGACAAACAAACAGCAATCATGCCTGCAATTCAGCAAAAAAAAAAATACCATTAAAAATGAATTTGGGAATATACCAATGGTTCAGCAATGGCTGGTTATTATGACATTACGACTACCTTGTACATCTCAACAGCTTAGAGCGAAAAATGTCATAAAAGCAGCAGGGTGTTACCCTGCCTGAATGTCATTCATGTTTACGATAAATGTGATATAAAAAAAACCACGGGTTGTGACAAAATACACATGTAATGTAAATGTTCAGAGCCTACGTCGCACAATAAGTATTGCTTACCCATTCTCATCTTGAGGGATGCCAGTTACAATATTCACATCAAGAGGCTCCACACATTCAATGCCATCAACTATGTTTGGTTAATAAATATCGAGCTTCACCATCACGATTACTATAAAAAGGGAAGCTTCGATTTGATTGAGAGTGGTGATTTCACAATCGTGATTAGGGTTTATATATTGGCTGATAACCTCGAATCACGCCTGTGCCGAAAAATCAAACAATGATTCCGTAATGTATTTGCTGCCGAAAGTTGGTGCTGTGAATGTGGGTAAGGATTCGTTTGCTGTGGTTTTTCGTTTTCCTGGGATTGATCTAAAGGCTCAATTTGAGAGAGATGCTGAATTGCTTTGGGAAGGGGCGAGTTTATCAAGCCTAATTGATTGACTGATTAAAAAATGGAAGGGGCATGTTTGGTGGCATCTAATCACCTCAGAAATTGGTATGCCCCTTCCATTTTTTATCCATAATACTGTATTTTTGAAGTAAAATATGAAAAAAATTTATTCCATAGTATTTTCTGAAATTACTTATGAAAACAGGTGATGGGCAAAATTTCCTCTATACACATTATGCACCATCAAATTCGGAGTGTTAAGAGAGCTTAAAAGTGCCATTATCTGGAACAAAATGGGAGCATCTAAATAATATCAATGGCTAGAGGTATACATTCGATCTGTTATTTATCGTTTTTCTTGATCCTATAATATTTCTAATCAGAGCGTTCCATTACCTTTGCCTTGAAATTTTGCAAGCATTCTAGGAAAATCAATTTTCTAGCTGCTATTATTATTATTATTATTATTATTATTATTATTATTATTATTATTATTATTATTATTATTATTTGAAATTAAAATGCAGATTTCTTTATGAGAATATTATGTGTATAATTATAAAATTATAGTTAAGATTGTGCTATTAGACTTACTCTCATATTTAGTTAATCGTTTATGCATAAAATAGTTAATGTCTTGTGATCTATATATTTTTATTTATTTGGGGGGATTAGCCACAGCATCTTTAATTAAATAAAATAATATATTAAGCTTAGGATCACGTAAAGAGTAAAGACATTAAAATTACAATTATTGTTAAAATTACAATTATTGTACTTAATATGATAAATTTTATCCCACATGAACTTTTATTATATTTATAAATTTAATTAGAATTAAATATCAAATTATCTAATAATTTGTCCACAGGAATTACGAATAAGTATATAATTTGATAGTTTTATTATAAAGTTTACTTTATGATAGAATATCAATTTTTTTTTCATAATTAACTTAAATATAAATTAAGTGCATAATTTGATAATTCTATCATAAGGAATAATTGAATATGCTTGAATTAAAAATTTAGTTCACGGGCAATTTTTATGTCATTATATTCAATTTTAGCATGATTTACATTGGTAAAATATGCAATCTACTCAATTGAGCCTCAATTTTAATATAATCATTTTTAAAATTATACAGTTTCACAACCTAATAATTTCTCTGGTATTCATTGCGATATTCTCAAATTAAAGATAATAATTACAAAGTATGGAAGGAGATAATTTATCTCCATTTAGAGTGGATGGATATTGATTACATTATTACGAAAGAGAAATCACCTGAAATCATCAATGCCAGTACCTCGGCAAACAATGCTCTTTATAAAAAATGGAAGCGATCTAACCTCATTAGCTTGACGTTCATGATAAGAGTGTAAAATATAATATTTTTCCCTCTTAATTATTGCATTCGTATGATTATTTGATACCAAAATGCACTCATTATGCTTATACTTTGATTCAGATTTCATTTTGGTTAAAAGTTGAAATTCAGAAGAAAATAGCGAAAAAAGACCAAAATGGAAGAAAGTGAAAGTTTAGGGACCAAGTTGCAAATAATCCAAAGATGAGAAGAGCGATGGAATGATGATTTGACAAAGCTAGGAGTCAATTGGGTGCAATTAGAAGTAAAAAAAAGGGAAAATCATAATATATTCACAAATCAAATTCCAACCGCATAAGGATTTTCAGATTTTCGATCGGAGATTAAGATCCACTTTTAACCGAGTAAACATTCGAATTTGGAAAGAGCTACTTCCAGAAAAATTGTAGCCATTTGTGTTAGCTTTCTAATGCACTTTGATTTGCAGAAAGTTATGGCAAAAATACTGAAAGCAGACACATAAAATAAATTCTGGCTGAAAATTTAGTTTACTTAATTCGTCTAACCTATTATGGAAACACGTTTTGGCACTCGTTTTTAACCCTATTCTGCACCAGAATATTTATTATTCATCTCCTATCAATGTTCTCTCAAGTTTGGCTCAAAAAATTCATGGAGAACTAAATTCTTAGGTGAAGCTATAGAGGAACTCATTGGATTTGACTACTTCACATCATTATTCATTCAAATTGGTACTTTTATTGTCAAACACCTCTAGATCCAGATTTTATTTCATGAAATTGCTTGGAATTGATTTAATTTTTACTATATTCTTCATAAACTCAATCACGTTTTCTCTATTGTAGAATTAAACTAATTGTTGAATTTCAATTTCATTAAATTTTATTAGTGGATTATTTACTGCCTTATGCATTGTGTATATGGTTGTTTCTTAACCTAATCCAATAAAGGTGTGTGGGAATGGTTTGAAAAAGTCTAGATCCTAGGATTACAATTAAAAATTAATTGATCTTCATTGTTAAATGTTTCGATTATAGGGTTGTGATGGAAACCTCTA